AGATAGTGTTGTCTCTGCAACTGTTCTGAGAACATCAAGGTTGGATGAAATAATAAAACAGCTTGCTTTCAGTCTTTATTGTACTTAAAACTATCTTTAACAAAAATGTATCAATACAGAATTTTATCTACCTGTAGTAAGTTGCCATTTTTAATGCAGTTTGCTTTGGGTAAAATAGGCCAAGTGCAAATTGGGCCAGAAAGGAGAAGAAATTTGCTTTCATTTTTAAATTTGTATTTTTCTTTTTTTCTCTGTTTCCAATTCGCAGTCTTGAAATTCTGAATAACTGTTAAACTTGCTTGTAATTAACTTTATTTTGGAATGCAATAGCACTTTTTAAAATATTAATTAATCAATACAATATTCTCCTTCCAAGTAGTGATGTTTAAGTGCAGTAGCTTATTATATTGTTATTATTTATTATTATATTATATTGTAGAATTAATATTGATGTATCTTGTATTTTTAAGTCATTTCTGTATGGATATACTGTAGGATGAGTTAGAACATTGAGTCAAAATAATAAAGGGCTGGTGTAATCAGATTACATTCAGATAATACATATTAACTCTTACTCTGCTAAACCCTGACAGGTTTTATAATTCGGTTTTCTTGCGTTCTGTTCTGCTTACATTTTAATACACTTTAGTTTTTCCATCTGGACGTATTTTGCTGAGAACAATTTTCATGTTTTTTAAAAAAAAAGTTAATTTGTCCTATTTTTCCCCTTTTCTGTTTACTAGTTTTCTGTTTTTAAATGTGGTCACGTTCTACCTCTGCTTTAGCTCCTTTTGCTTCTGTTCATATAAATACATTTAAAAGTGCTGTCATTACAGTACAGTAAGTATACACATCTGAATTAAGATCCTGTTCAAAACAATTTGGAACAGTTTATTTTTCCCTTTCTACACCCACATTTGGACTTGCCGGTTGTTAATCAGCTTGGTTCTCTGCTGCAGCCTTTGTACAGAAAGACAATGACAGTGCACATTGTGGAGGATGCGTGCACAAAGTCTACGTTTGCTTCTTTCACGCTGCAGCTCCACAGCACCATCAGCAGAGTTAAGCATGAGGTGGAGGGTTGAGGTAACTCTCTCGGCCAGCACTCCTGACCCACAGGAGTCACTGCTGCACAGTGAACCGGAGGACCCCAGCCAGCTTGAGCTCACCGAGCCCCATTAACGCAGGGGCAGTAGTGTGCAACAGCTTGGGGTGTCCAGAGCAGTTCCACAGCCACCGTTTCAAATAGCGGACATTTTTAACACCATGAACATTGTGCAGGGATGTAAACGTTTTAAAATAGGATAACAGGATTAAATGAATAAATTACATTAAATAAAAAATTTCTTCTAACAGAAACACTAGAAAATGTTAAAGGGATACACACCCAGTCCACATGCTAATCTAAGGCCATGACTGATTGAGCCAGTTAGTTCCATTAAGTATTTATGCTCCTGGTGGACAAATACACTTTAAAGAGAGCAGGATTGAAAAACCTAAACTTCCAAATGTGCTGGGAACAATTTGAGAGTGTTTTGTGAAATCTGAACTTAGACATATGCAAACTATAGCTCTACAAGCTCCTATATTTGTAAGTAATGATAATAAAATACAAAGCTTCTCTAATTTTAGGATCAATCACGATTTAACAATAATTAACAAAGTTTGCTGAAGCCTTAAGATTGCTTGAAAGGGTTTAAGATTACTTATAATAAAATTTCCAAATGGAAATCTTCTTGAACACAAAGAATATTGTCGTAAAACGAGACTGCAAGTCTTTCATGTAAAAGGAAACAGAATTTTGCAACATTCATTAGAGACACTGAAAATGGGCAAAGTGTGACCATGTTAGCCATTTAAATAAATGAAAAAATATGTTCTTAATTTTTGATGACCACAAAAAACGGGACAGAACAACTATACGTAAGCCTTAAATTTTAATTACTGTAACAGAACTCAGCATTGTAAATTTAACAGTGTTTTATTGATATGCAGTCACTATCTACAGTGGGCATAAAAAACTGCGAGATTAACATGCAATTTTGACGGCTCTGTAATATGCAGATAAGTATCCTGGCAGCCTATTATTAAGAAAAGATGTATTCTTTTTTTGCTTTTATATTTAACAGTACAGTGTTTTTTTAATTTATATTCTTTTTATCGATTGGAAGTTATCAATTTTGTATTAATTTTTGCATTATGCAGATATTGCTTTTAATGTTTTTTTTACCCTTCAAATATTTTCTAGCGTGTTTGAAGAAATGTGAATTTTATGTAATTAAAGATTGAATGCCATTTAATTTTTTTTCACATCCTTGCATAATGCATTCTGGGTGCTAGTCCTCCAAAGGTACAGTGATGTCATTTTTCCAGCTGCATCGAACTGTGATGAAAGCACTATATAAAACGTCAGTTTTACCTTGCACAACAAAAATAGTTATATATAGCATATACTTTATTTTCCTGTCTGTTATTTTGGACATATGAGACGAACCAATTTTTTATTTTTGTGTTAACAATTGGATGTCATGTATGGTTCGGTTTGCCTTTTGGAGCTGGATTGAACATTTAAAAGTGCGTAGAAAAGGGCTGTTTTTAGACGATTATTGAAATAACGAAAAAGTTCACCTTTGTATCCTTTCTTTATTTAACCTTCAGCTGAAGCTTTATATAAAGGCTACAAAATAAGAATATGAGAACTTGATTTTGATGATGTGTCGACTGTTCCTGGCTTTCAGCATTAATGTAGTTATATTTTCTTTGTGTGTTGTGGTAGTGGCATATTTTCAGACAGAAGTAATGGATTGATCAGAGTAATTTGGGATGCCTATAATGCCAAGGCATGACGTACAGTATATATTGACAGCATGGCTTTCAAAATTAGTTTTGCCAAGTTTTAAAAAATTTAAATATTCTGTAATGGCACTTTTTGCGTTATGGCATGTTTTGTAAATTTCCTCTGTTGGGGAAAAAAAAATCAAGCTTTGTAAATTCCCATTTAATGTCTATTACAATGGTTTATTTAATGTAAGTGGGCGAGCTTGGTTATCTCTACTTTTTTAGAGTAAGTGGCATATACAGTCACAGCAGACTGATTTTCACAGAATATAATTTTTTTGCCCTGTGCCAGTTTAATGAGAACAGCCTTTTGTAGAAATATTTGGTCAAGTTTATTTTTCAGGAACTACTTATGCCACGTTCTTTATTTTTAGAGTGACTTTTGCAGCATTTCTAAAATTTCTTCTAACAGAAGGATTTCTGGTTAGGCCTCATGCAGTATATCAAAATGTAAATCATTAGCTTAGATGGCTTTGTTTAGGCCTGTTTTTTGTTAAAAGCAGGATTCTGTTTTTTTTTTCACAAAAAGGGTTATCAGCAGCAGACAGAGCTTATACAGACTGTGTGTAGCATTTATGTGCATTGAATGTTGAATTAGAGGAGGGGCTGGGATGATGAGTTGGAAAGATGTGCCTGTGGAATCCTGAATTTCCCCTGGGAATAGAGTGGATAAGCTAATCAGCAGCAGGTCAAAGCATGCTGTCTGAGAGGTCTCCCGAGTCGGTATGCCTGTCTGTTCCAGAGCCCTGCCATCCCGTACAGGGGGAGAGCGCACAGCGGAGCTTCGCTCTAGCAGGGATCTTGTCAAAGAGTTCGTAGATGGAATTGTTTCCTTCAACCAGAGAAAGGCTCTTCTTTTAAATCTGCCACTCCTCAGGAGTTCGTCACCTACTTTTATTTCAGGTGTTTTAAATTCTGTTGGATCCTAATTACTGTTGAAGAATTTGTCCTCTGCACATTGCCTTTCTCATGCAGTGGAGGTTTTATCTGTCACATTATCAGGGAAACATCTCAACGTGTAGATTCTACTGTTGGAAATATTGAAGTTCATTAGTCACCCCCAGTGGCAAAACACTGTTTTCTTCCCTTCTGAGAACAGCCCCCCTTTTCAGTCAATTTCAAGTACTGTTTAAGTTTTGCAAGCCATGTAGTAAACACTGAAGGAGAAATATTTGGATGATCTTGCATCTGACCTTGTCACTCAGGGCGTGTCCTCCAGGAGGGAGGATACAATTAAACGAAAAATCGGTTTGCATTTCTTTTACACGTATATTTTTTGTTTTGAGTGTACAACATTGGTCCTTGCTTATCCACCAGTTTGGAATCGTTAGTTATTGCTTCACTTCTACATTCCTGCACTTACCTGGGAAAAACCAAGGTGTCCCGAGACCTGGTCCCTCTTTTCCACCCGTATAGGAAGCAGATGAGGTTACGATCTGATTTTAGAAAAGCATGGTCTCGTGCTTCCCCTCCATCATCCTGCAGATGTCTGGACAGTTGTAAGTAAGGCATTGCTGTTGTCTAACTTGGTGAGATGAGGCTAAAACTCCCCAAACCCATCCTGGGCAGGGCTTTTACCTGTTCAGATTCACAGATGGTGCAGCCTGGGGCGAAATGCTCAGACTCTTGGCTGTGTGTAAGTAGGAACCTGCTGTGGCGTTTACCGGATACGCCAGCCTTTTTTTTTTCTTTCAGTCCCTTCAAGGGTGATTACAGTTACACTGGGAAGTTGTAACAGGGACTTTCCAATGAGGTGTACATTCAGTTTCTTTTACTGTGGCTTTTCTTGTCAGACTAGTTCACTATTGTATCATCTACTTAATACTGAGCATATCTTTGGTTTCATTGTCTGTTCAAAAAAGCAAGTGTAACAAAACTTTGAAAAAGGGAAATCTGTTTTGAACCAGGATGTTCCTTCACAAGAGCAGCTGCAAAGACGAAAAGTAGAATGTGATATGGATGCTGTAATATTAGAGCTGTTGTATGAAGCAGCAGTTTTTATTTAATTCTGGGAACGTTCAAATGTACCAAGTACTTTATATTGGAACCGTAGTGTGGGAAGGGGGAGGGAGGCACGGCTCCTCGTCAGATCTCAGTTGCTTTGCGTGCGAGTTGTCGTTCCTGCGTGTCTGAAAGTGTGGGGGCTTGTGTGTTGCTTGCAGTGAGGAGAAGAGTGAAGACCAGGACCAGCAGGGCCAGAAGGATAAAGCGCCAAAGCCCAAGAAGGTAAAGAAGGAGCGCAGGGATGAGGAACGGGCGGAAGCGGCTGCCTCCGGCCTGCCCTCGGCCCCGGGGCCGCAGGGACAGCAGCCCGCGGAGGCGGGGAAAGCCGAGCCTTCGGAGGCGGTATCGGGGGCTGCTCCAGAGTCCTCCGCCTCCCCCAAACAGCGGCGCTCCATCATTCGTGACCGCGGCCCCCTCTACGACGACCCCTCGCTACCGCAGGGCTGGACTCGCAAGCTCAAGCAGCGCAAGTCTGGGCGCTCCGCGGGCAAATACGACGTCTACCTGATCAAGTGAGTAAGCGTCCTCCGAGATACCTGCACGGGCCTGGGCCTGGTCACGGAGAGCCCAGGGGTTCTGTCAGCTCTTCCTGCTTGGCTGAAAGAGTGAATCGCCTGGCGAGGGTCAGTTTCTCAGTTCACATGCCCTCTTTCACGCCAAGTTCCAATCCCCGTTCCTTTTTTATATTTTTAATTTGATTAATTTTCACGGAATTGGAATTGGGACTAAGTTTGAAGAAAGGAATTGGAATGGAAAACGGGAATTTTAACTATCCCATGTTATTGATGTGTTTGGTCTGAATTGACCGTGGCTGCAAGTCCTTATGGCAAATCATCTCCACATAAAACAGGCATAGCTGTCCAAGGTCCAGAGTATTTATGTACGGTACTTGTGTTTCGAAACCACAACTAAAAGCATTTGGTGAGAACAGGAACTTTGTTTTCCAAAGAAGGCTCAGCTAGTGTTTAAATGTATCTTTTTCCATTTCTGTGTGATATTCCATAGATCATCTTAAAGAAAATGAATAAAAAGTTTGAATTCGGTTTCCTTTTCAGATTCAAAAGTAAATTAAAGTCCGTTTTGCTTCAGACTTTAATTTGACTATGTAGATAAGAAAAAAAGTTTTTGTTATTCCTGTTTTGGTCTTCATTTAGTGTTAATGATAAATATGGTTTTGCGAAGACGGTAACGAATGTAAAAAATATTGAAAATGATGTAATCTGTTAAATTTACTTATGATGTATTGCAGTCTGAACGTGATGCTTTCAGTTGCATAACTGGCAAAAGGAAAACCCCAGTGCCATGTCTTTCCAGTGTCTCACTCTCACGTCTGGGAGCCACACCTGGTGTTTATGTCTTGTGTTCCATTTCTTGAACGTTAAGACCAGGTTAACAATCACAGGAAAGCAGAAGCTGTTTAGTTTCTAAGCGTATCCTTCCAACGATGTTTGTGAGTGATATCAGTGGGTGTTTTCACTTTTTTTGTCTCTTTACATGTCAGTTTCTGTGCTCTATACTCTACACGTTGACACTTGTGGGGAATGGTCATTTGTTTTAATTAATACCTTTCTGACAGGTGCCTTATGTGAAGCAGTGACACAAAGTCACAGTTCTGACTCTCGCTTCCGCCCTGAAAAACCAACACCAGGGTCCAGAAGTTGTATTACGCACCGCCTGCGTGTCACACTTTATTGACCCCACTTAGTCTTCGAAGTAGGTGGGCTGCAGGATATCTCTCTAACTGGCCTGAACAGAGCAATGTTGAATATCCCTCAAAACAGGCAAAAAGAGATGGCAGTGCAGAATAGGTGGGTCTATTTAGAAATAGTTTTTCCTGAAGAGCTTCTCATCATGTCCTATTGTTCGTGCCAGGCAGATTCCCCCCCCCCCCAGGTAGTTATGCAGTTTAATTACCAGAAGGGGGGGGGTGTTCTGTGAATGGCTCAAATTGATTGTTTTGTAACAGCCTTGCAAACAGGAGCTAAGGTATATCATAAGTTTGACATGTATTTGAGGCAGGATATGTAACCTTTTGGAGAAGCTTAGGAAAACAATCTCTGTGAGAAAGTGAAGTGTTCTCCTGATTTTGTGGGTCAGATTAATCTGTGTAATTTTAATTTTCCTGTTTGGTCTGTGATTTGACATTGCTAGTCTGTTAAGGAAAATTTACACATGGGGTGGGGGGGGACAAGAAACATGGTGTTTAGAATTTAGTGTGGCCTATGAGCATAGAGCACTCTGATACCTTGGCTGTAAGAGCATATCAGTTTGAAGAAAAGACCAGAAAATTGCAATGTTCTTGAGCCTATTATAGAGGGGATTCCCCTTTCCTGTTATGTTTTGGAATACTGCTTTTTGGAAGAATGTTCATTGAACGTTTTTCATTGACAAGTATTAGGCAGATGCCTTAATGTGACTCTTAAGCTGAAAGGCTATTTATTTTTTGGTGAGGAGTTTTGCACGTCATGTAAGATTTATAAGCTTTCTTTGTATCTTTTGAAGTAGAAGTTATTTTTATAGGAATCTCAACGTAGTGAAAATTGTAATGTTATAAAGTTATAAACTTTTAGCACGTTCTGAAGTACAGTTGTCAAAATGAATAAAGAACGTGGCCCTTTTTAAAAATATTATATACAAAACATAATTGTGTATTGTGTGTGATTTACATGTGATTGTTTTTGAAATGCTGAATATTTCATTGTTTACAAACATTCTGAGGAGCTGATTCCCTCTACTCCATACCTGAACTAAAAAAGAGTCATTATTAGAAGTCTAAGCAGTGTTGACATGCTGTCAGATTGTGCTAAAAATCTGGAAAAGATCACACATTCGTATGCGGTTTCCTTTCTGAATCGGGAACTTGTGTATCAGTTCCAGAGCAGTGTTTTTTTACAACCTGACAGGGCTTGTCCAGGCTGACAACAGCTACCTAGGTTGTAAAGACTTTAACACATTACATTGATGGCAGAGCTTTCCAGCAGTGTAAATAAAGGTGTAATACATCTGCTGGTGTGGAACACCATTGGAACAAGGCTGTTTTTTCGAACGATGGCCTCAACAACCCTGTCCAAGTGATAAAGTAGCTTATTGAATTTAGCCGGCAGTAATAATGGCATTATTTATATTCCACAGGACAGACATCCATTGCGAGCATTGAGGTTTGTCTGCTGTTCAGCACAAACAGCAGTCAGATATATTTTATTTCTGACAGCCCAGTGTCAATTTGTAATTTCAACAAATATTTTCTGTTAAAAACAAATATACACTTGTTTGAGCAAATATATTCCTTTTTTAATTTCACAATATACTTTGAAGAAAATTAGTACAAATTGCCAAAAACGTTTAAGCTATGCAGGTTTGAAAAGCAAAACATTTTAACTGATCCGTTCATTTATTTTAAGCACTGTATGAAGAAAATGATATTATCCACTAATGTACAAGTTAGTAATACAGTATGTGTAACAGTGGGAATATGTGTCACAAATGTGCACCTGTCTACCTACCCATGATTTGAAACAGCAATGCAATACTGCTTTATAGAAGCAGAATTAGCTTTTAAGAGGGAAGATTCCCAAAACATTTATACATAAGAACAGTACAGCTTTTGTAAAATGAAATTGTCACCAGAGATCATTTACTGGTAAAATGATGACACTCATCAAAATTATTGAAATATTTACAGAATTTTAAAATGTAATTTGCAACTCTTGATCCAACATGCTTCCTTACTCTTCTCCATATAATTTAACGTACTGAATGCACACAGAAGGGCTTTTAAGAGATGCGAATCCTTCAATACTGTTGAAAATATTCTGCAACTAATATATTTTATGTATTATGAAATGGAACTTGCATATTCTGTGAAGGGGACATTTTGAATGTTACAAAGATGCAAGATAATGCTAATTTTTCATTGGTGTGAAAATGTTTCCAATTAAGGACAGCTTACACATTGTCCAGTCAACTTAAAGCTGAGGAAGTAAGCATAAATCCCAAAGTATCAGCTAATCACCTTGACTATTTATAATGTACCATTGCCAAGCCTGAAATTCACAGTATATCCTCAAATAAGATGACTTATTTTAATATCCAAAGGCTATTTTTGTCTTTAAGAGCTGGTACTAACTCTTAAAGAGTTATCTCTTGTTTAAAAAGAAAAAAACCTTTAAGTATGGATATTCAGTTTTTTGTACAGTGTTTGCTCTTGTATTTTAAAAAGAAAGTCAACATAACATATAAGTTACCTAGCTGACTAGTACATGTACAAATCATGCCTTTATTACTCTTATTACAGTAACTCTATATCTTTGAGCTGTGTGGCTCAGCACAGGATCTATTCTATGGAGTTGTGGAAGTTCTGCAACATGGAGAATCTAACATTGAGGGTGGAAACACTGTGATATTAATGGGGTTCTGCAACAGTTGCTCCCATGTTGAAAAATCCCATCAAAACCAATGTACTGAGTAGTGCCACTCCGTGAAATACACATTATTCTTCCTGTACCTGAGCTGCAGACATTTTGATAAATCCCGTCTTAGGTTTCTGGGTCCTAAATACATGAGAAATTGAAAAAGAATCGGGCTGTGTCCTTGAAGCGCTGTCTGGATTTACAGTAGATGATGTCTGTATTTATGTCGACCAAGGGGGGGACTATTCCACATGAAGAGCCTGGTGTCTGAGGCAGCAAGAGTGACAGATGACCTGTGTGACAAGGTCCTGTTAAACCTCCATCAACATCCCTCCATTTATGGGTTCCTAAATCACTTTTATTAACAGGCTAATTCACTGATAATGATGTCAGCCCTCAAAGTACAAGCAGTGCGCAGGGTACTGTGTAAGGAATTGATGGAGAGAGGGAGGGAGAATTGTGCCTGCTGAGGTAGAGGGGTGGCCGACTGGGCTGTAGAGGAGGAAGGATTTCATTCCTCAAGTGACTCCAGTTCCTGGTTTTGATCTTAGCAGGGAATGTGGGGCAGTGTGACACCATGCAGCTGTATTGCAGCTGTGTGCCCCATATTAGAACTATTCTTAGCTTTCTGCTATTCTACTGAACCCCCTCTAAGACACTAAGGCACCCCCACAGGGAGAAACTGGTGACAAAGTGACAGTCATTCCAAGAGCTTTTTAAAAAAAAAAAATCAGGTCCTGATTTTTAACTTCTTAATATTATTGCAATTAACATCATAATTGATGTCAAAATATTGGAGCTCTTCATGAAAGCACAATGATGAATAGAATGACCTGTAGTTTATATTTTTTTCCCTTGACAGTTTATTTTTTCAGATTATCTTAGTACGCCAAAACCTTAAAATATCATGAAGGTTGCCATATTCCAAGACCAGTATAGGGGGAAGGATGACTTTACAATATTGCATAAAAGTGTGATATGAAAATTGTCAATTTAATTTGGTAAACAAGGTAAGGTGTTTGAAATGGGGGGGGGGGGGGGGGGCGACATTATTCTGACTTTTTTTAGTACAGTTGAGCAGACAGTTGCAATATCTCTTGAACTGAGGCGTCTGTGTCTTTGATGTCCGGCTGCTTTTCCTCACCTCTTAGACAACTCTGACTTTTCGTCTTCACAAAGCCCTTTGATGAAAAGGTGACAGCTGTATTTTGGTTCAAAACCATCATGGTTTTGGAAAGTCAGGATGTGGAAGGGGTTTTGTTGATTTTTATTCAAATAATAAAATAAAATTTATTTTTCAGCCCAGAGGGGAAAGCCTTCCGCTCAAAAGTGGAGCTGATCGCATACTTCCAAAAGGTAGGAGACACCACCACTGACCCCAATGACTTTGACTTCACCGTCACGGGCCGGGGTAGCCCCTCGCGGAGAGAGAAGAAGCCCCCCAAGAAGCCCAAGGTGGTGAAGGCCTCAGGAAGGGGCAGGGGGCGGCCCAAAGGCAGTGGCAAGATGCGCCTGGCCTCGGAAGGAGTGGCGGTGAAGCGGGTTGTGGAGAAAAGCCCCGGCAAGCTGCTGGTTAAGATGCCCTTTATCACCCCGAAAGCCGAGGCCGGGGGTCCCTCAGGGCAGGCAGCAGTTGCAAAAAAGCGCCCCGGTCGCAAGAGAAAGTCGGATCAGAGTTCGCAGACGGTGCCCAAGAAGCGGGGCCGCAAGCCGATGGCAGCCGCAGGGGCCGCAGGGAGCCCGGGGGCCAGTGCTCCCAATCCTGCCGCCGCCATCCAGACCGCCGAGGCCAAGAAGAAGGCCCTGAAGGAGTCTTCCAGCAAGCCGGTGCAGGAGACGGCACTGCCCATCAAGAAACGCAAGACGCGCGAGACCGTGGAAGAGCTGGAGGCCCCTCCTCTGGCTGCAGCCGTCGGGACCGTGACCGCCACCGCCACCGCGACCGCGGCTGGGGCAGCGGCCGGGGCGGGGGCGGGGGCTGAGGTGGGGGGGGCAGTGGTGGAGGAAGTAGAGAAGGGACAGAAGCTGCCAAAGAGCCCAGGGAGGAAGCACAAAGAGGGGGGCACCGGGAGCAGTGGCAGCGGCAGCAGCAGCCCCCCTAAGAGCCACAAGAAGAAGGAGAGGCAGCCGCACAAGCACCATCATCATCACCACCATCACCACCACCACCACCAACACTCTTCCTCGCCCCAGCCACCTCCACCCTCCGCAACCCATGCACACCACCACCAATCCCAGGGCAGAGCCGCGCTTGGGGGGGGACCAGGGCCACAGGACAATGAGCCCCAGGACTTGAGCACCCCTAAGCCGTGTCACGACGAGAAGCAGCAGCAGCAAGCAGCCCCCCGGCGCGAGGTGACCGTCAGGGCTGACAGCTGTCCTGGCAGGGAGACCGTCACCAAGACTCAGGCCGCCGCGGTCACGGCAGAGCCGAAAGGCAAACACCGGGCCGCCGGGGTAACGGTGGGGGGCGGGGCGGTGGAGGGAGGGGAGATGAAGGACATTGTGCCCACATCTGCTGTGCCCAGGCCCAGCCGGGAGGAGACGGTGGAGTCCCGGACGCCCGTGACCGAGAGAGTGAGCTGACTGACTCACCCAGGAAACAGAAAGTGCGAAAGGAGGAGGGAGACAGCGGCAGTGAAGACGACGACTTTTCAAGAAGAAAAAAATATATATTATAATACAAAAGGCAGCTGTTGTGTCTTGTTCTCTCTGTGGGTAGGGCTGTTTAACCAACAACGTTGACATCAAAAGTAAAAGAAAAAGCAGATTGCTTCCTGATAAATTAACAGATGTATTGTTCAATAGATTTTTTTTTTGTTTTATTTTCATTATTTTTAAAAACCCAACAACAGCCCTTCCGGTTTGTTCCTTTTTCGAAGCTTCATGAGAGAGTGAGGAAGGTTGGCAGCATATTTTTTTTTTTGCATAGAGTGTAAGGTAGGTCTCAGTTTGGAGATTAGACCCCTGCCAGAAAAACTCTGTTGCGAGTCTCCTGTCAGTAGGTTATCTTGTCATGAAACATGTTCTGCTGACAAATATTTAATTGATGAGCAAATGGTGTCCCCTGTACCATTTTGTGTTCCAAAGCAATACAATCATATTTCCAAAATTTCAGGTTAAGAGATACTGTCCATGATCCTCCAGTGTGTCATATCTGAGTCTTTATCCATTAGATCCAATCAGTTTTATCCCTGACAAACATGTTTTTCCAGCCAATGGTTTTGTAAACCTGAGGTATATATCTCACAAGGCCGACTGAATTGTAGATTGTTCTTTGTTAAAACTGTAAAGTAGTTATTGTTTCCAATTGGAAAACATTTTACCAATGCATGGATATATTTCGTATCCAAGCTACTTACGAGGACCTGTACTTACTGCTGCACACAGAGCTATCCGTTATACTTTATGTGGCCTGAAACCAGTTGGGGGGAAGCAAAGAAGAAATTAAACCTGCAAAGGATGAATAGCGAGTTTAGTCTGATAACACAGCAGACACACTGTAGCCCTTGGTGTTCAGATCTGCTGCTATGGCTGGGACATTGAAAGCTGATGTGAAATTGCAGTTGTGGAACCGATATTGTTGTGCAGGCTGTCCATTAACCTTCTGACACTTTTCATCTTCCTTCTGCCCAGCCCTAGAGAGCTTTGAGCATCTTACTCAGCAGGTCTACGGGCTTCTTAACTAGGTAGGAGCTTTTTGCCAAAAATAAAAAAGGAAGTATTTGTGGCTGTGATTGTTTAAAAACAAAACTTTTTTTAGCAAGAATTTTTAGCAAGAATCAGAAGGCCGAGATTTCAAATCAGTTTGTGTTCAGCTGTTCAAAATTTTCCCTTGTCTTTTTTTGGAGAAGTGGCAGGGATTTCATAATCCCATAAACTTTTCTTAGTAGAGAAAAGATGTGAAGATTGAAGCCCACCTCACCTCCTTTTCGCCCTGTCCTGTCTTTGTACTCCGCCCTTTGACTGACTCGTAAAGAATGACTTTAGAAAAGTGCTCTGGTCTCTTAGTTCTGCTCAGACCACTGACAGTAATGACCCACGATGTCGGAGGGCAATGAAAAGCTGAGGTACCCCAGAGCAGCATGTCATTTACACCCTTTAGTGAAAAGAAGGTAAGAACAAGGTGAAAGAGACTTCTTAATGAATTAGAATAGTAATTTGACGAAGTTATCTGGGTGTTGACTTTGAGAAGAAACATGTTACTTGAACAGCTGCAGCAGCACCACAAGTGGAAGCCTAGTGCTGTTTTTTTTTCCAAACCCTCATTCACGCTCTGTAGGGCTGGAAGTCCTGACTCTCATCCCTGCCTGTAGCTTCAAGCCTGCCAAAGATTCAGAGGCTGGAGTGATAGCAGTAGTCTTGTGCTCCCCATTCCTTTGAAGCTTCGAAGAAAAAACAAGGTTTACCACAGTTTACCACAGTGTGATAAGAACTTCCTACTGATTGGCTAGGGGTTAAGTCAGGGCTTTTTAGAAAAGAAAGTGAAAACTCGATCTTCCATTTAGAGCATACTTCAGCACTGACTGCACACACACAAACCCTGCTTAGGTTTCCAAACAGGTGGGAGAGATTAAGGTTTTTCTCAGAACTTGTTTGTTGTCCCTCCAGGGACAGCATGGTGGTGCCCCTGCACAGTCCAGTTATGAAACAAAGGGTATCGGTCCCTTTATACTTGTATTACTGAATATAGATTTTGGAGACTTTGGTGTCATGTAAGTAAGCACTGTAGTTTACAATTCAGTTTACTTAATAAAGCACTCATGCAGAATTGTTCTTGTGCTATAAATTCAAAACTGAAGTACAGTCTACATATCTGCTTGTGTAGTCGGTTATGTATAAGCTAACTTGTGCAAACAGGCTTCCTGTTTGCAGAGAATGACTCAAGACTCCCAGCTGACTTTTAAGTTAAATTGTTAAAACACCCCAAAACTGACAATAAATGCAGGTTTTTGGGTACTTATTTCACAAAATAACAGGAGCTGATCATATCTGTTAATGCATTATAGTGGGATCAAGAGAACTGGGTAAAAATTTAGATATGAATCAAATAACCTTCGCAGTCTATAAACAGTAATTCCTTTTACATTTTTTAGAATAAGAATACTTATTGAGGTTTTAAAAAGAATATATTTTTATTACATTATTTATTTTAAGTGGTGATAAGATAATACAGTGATATTTTTAATAGATTTTAACCTCCATGTTATGACGATCATTGTCAAATCAATAAGTATGCTTTTTCCACTCTTATCAAATGTGTGTCTGTCACAGACAAAAGTGATATCTGTGTTATCAGGAATGTGAATCGCATCCTTGTTGGTACCGAAGACGTTAACCAAAAGGCACGATTCTGAGTGGCCAAAGTCCACTCTGGGAAGTTCTTATCTCTGTGGTTTGCGTTTTTTAAATACTTTCAAATATATTTGTGTTTACAAAGGTTTATTTCAATTGTTCTCTTTTTCATGTGAGAAAGCACCTTATCTAAAACAGAAACCATATAAAAATACATATAATTGAAATACTGCTACTAACAACAATAATAATTAGGCCCTCTCCTGTTTTCGGCACACAGGCTGTTAGTTTATCTACAGTTACACTCCATGGTTTCAGTTAATGCCTGGAGGTTGAGACCTACATAATGTTTTAGTACTCTCTGTTTGCATGCACTAGAAGAAATTGTTTCTATTTTAAATGAAAAGTACCTCTCAGTTGGATTGTAAAGATGGTTATAAAGGCAAGATGATTTCATTTTTGAGTTGTGATTCCAGTCCGCAACTATGTAGCAAAACGTTAATCAAGCATGCTACAATTTTAATACTGCTTTGTTGATGCCACACTCCATTTCCAGCAAAAGTGTTACCATCATGAAATTTGCACTTGTCTGCATTTATATATAAAAATAATTACACCAACATTATTACGTAAAGGAATTGAGAAGTATGTGTATGCAATAATTATTGAAGTGACCATATGTGCAGTAGTCTCCCAGCCTCCCAGGTTAGTACCGCTAGTTATATCGTGAGTGTTCAAAGAAGCACAGAAATGTTTGTAAACATTTCCCGATTTCATAGTTTTTTTTCCTGATTAGCCCAATTCTCTAATAAAGTAACACCGCTAATATCCCTCTTACTCCCCTATGATATGCACTGCGCAGGGGACCGTGAAGAGCAGATTTCAACTTGTACTCCTGCACACAGCACCAACCCTGAAAAGGTTGTACTGGAAATGGATGGCAGTGGCTTGAACTGCAGTACAGCTACAGTTCGGCCAGTAATCCAGCTCTGTGCCTCATGGGGTGGGAACTCGTAGAAGGAGCAACTTGAAGTTCCTAGATGAAGCCCTGGCTGATCTGAGGACACAGTTTTCCACATATTTGTTTGGAAAACCTAGGTAGTCTTGGGCGGTTTTCCTCCTTGGCTTGCTTCCCTTTAACCTGGACCCCAACATGTGGGACAGGGCTTCTAAGGATATGAGCATCCTTGCTCGACAAAGGGCTATGTAATAACTTCAAGGCACACACAAAAAATACACTTCAACCTATCTGACCTGTAAGTAAAGCATAATCGAGGCACAGCTGTGTTTGAAGTTTGTTTACACGTCTCAAAGGTTTTCGTTTTGTGTGGCCCCTTGACTCCATAGACCACGGGGCTACGCCAATGCACGATTCTGAGCACTCACTCACCCCAGATGCCTGTTCCCCGTCACGCTGGCTGGGAGGAGGTATCTGCCACGGAAAATTGCGCAAGGGAAGCCCAAGGTGGAAAGCAGAACTCAAAAGAAACTTCTAAGTTGTCTGGGGAAGAGCCTTTTGGGGAAAAAAAAAACAGCATCAGCCCTTTTAGGTTGGTGTCCATGCTAAACAGAGAATTTAAGAATAAAAGACATTTAAAAACCAAACCTCCTGGCGGCATGAAGTCTTGCTAACGTAGTTTTGTGGTATCTGTGCTATATGACTTCAAGCAACTGATGAAACCCCCTCTATGAAAAGTACCGAGACAGCCTGGCTGCAACAGAAGGGATAGTGCCTTGCATTAGAGATGGACTTGGGTGATAGAAGTGGCCTTTGATCAAAAATATAAAAACTTTTAAACTATTTTAAAAAAAAAAGGCTAAGACGGGCTAATATGACTTGATTTTCAAGCACATTGCATTGATGCTTACCGTTGATGTTGTATTACTGGAATTAAGAACAGAGATTTTCCGTTGAAAAAATTTTGGGTCTAGTCAATAAAGTACGATATGCATAGCAGTCATTTGCAGAACAACTGCACAGAGACAGATTTCTGTTTTGTTTAAAGGAGTCTTAAAGAAGTTTTATTTGAGTTTTAACTGTGATCTAGTGCAGCTGGGGTAACATAGGATTGAAGTAAGTCATTGAAAAAATGTAGTCTTGCAGTGCTCCATTCTGCGCGTTCTTTGTTTGTATCGTGGTTTTCTTTGATTGCATAGTGGTTATCTTTTCAGTTGTTATAAGATTGTGAGGGTGGTGCTTAGTTCCTTGTTTCAGGTTTGCTGTAAATGTCTTCAAGGTTCTCTGATTAGTACATTGTGGAACCCCCTCCTATGAATGTGTGTACTTCAGTGTGGTCGCCTTCCAGGACACATCAGAGCTAGTGTTTTCAAAAGAGACGTTTACAGTACAGTATTAAGTGTTAATTGCGGTTATCTTCCAATTTTCCATCTTTTATTTGTACTTCCACATCGATGAGCATTACTTCCAACTGTAAGTGAGCGCCACACTGAGCACAAGCAGTTTTGATTTGAAAATTATGTCAACGAGACAGCAGAAAACTGAAAAAAGGGCACTGCCTATTTTCGTGTAGGAAATCTGAAATTTCAAATGGTCTCCAAAGCTCTGGTAATTAAGCAGGTTTATAGTGTGTTAAATATTGCTTTCCTCCCAGTCTATAAACACCACATTGTTTGTGGTTTCTCAGAATTACGGAGCCATGTTGGGAGGTATGTTTTTGTGTCTTCTTCTGTCTGTAGCAAAAATGGTGCCTCTGTCCCTGTGCCAGTGAGATCAGATGCAGTCAGTCTGGGGTTGAGCCAGATTTCCCTTGGGTCAGTGTCTCTGCCAGAGACTCGGCACACTGGCCTATTGTTCCTCTTGGAGAGAGCAAAAGACTGCTTTTCTGTTCACAGGCGTTCAACAGATACTGCCAATGCATTGACAGAAATCATCTCCAGCTTTCCCATCCTGTGTGTGTGAACGGTGAAGAGTCACTCTCTTACACTACTGCTTCCATTCCTGGCTGCACTGAGTTAACATTGGTTTATACCAGAGAAGCTTAGTGACGACCGTATTTTAAACATGAGGTAAAACCTTCCACTACTTGTGCCAGAAAAACATTGGCCGGTTACACTTCTTGGTGTCACCTGATGGCCGAGAACAGGAACAGGAACTGGAACGTCTTTTTTAGCTGAATTAACCATCAAAGATTTCTTGGAACCATCAAAGAGTTCCTTGCAAAAACAAATTCATACTCCATTTCCTTTAGAGCTGTTTTGTTGGTTTCTTGTTACTTTCCAAGAAGTTTGGCATTGAGAGACATTTTTGCACTGTAAAATGTTACATAAAAATGGTTTTGACACACTTTGAAAAGGACCCAAAAGGATATGACGTCCCTGTTGTGCATACTGTTACAGTGTCTCTGTTAAGTGATGTTCCTTTCGTGTGTAGACATCTCAGGCAGTTGGGATTTGTTAATCTTAATATTCTCAGCGGTTTGTGCTACAGTAGAGTATATGATTACAAATGTCTAGATCTAGTGTTTTTTTAAATTCTGTATTTCCTTCCTGTACAGTATGGTATGATACGAGCACATAAATTAACAGGAAGAACAAATTCACCTCACTGATTAATCCAAAAAATAAAACCTATTTAAAATGTTAAATCTCTTATACCACAATGATAAATTACCCTTAATTATAAAGTCATTCTGTACGTATTTAAGAAAGGGACTTGCCTTTTAAACAGAGCATGCTAAATCGTTGATAACAACAGTCTGTCATAGGTTCCTGGGACCAAAGGAAGAGAACACTGTGTTCCATCCCACTTTAGTCGAGAGTTTCAATTAGATCCACAGCGACTCAAGTACCATCTGCAAGCATACTGTGTGTAGAATCATTTAGTTACACAAAACTAAGGTTCAGTCCAAAAGGATCTTTTTCATGGGGCAACATCATTGAAGTCACTAAGTGGTAATTAAAATTTACAGTTCCCCCATAAGCCTGCTTTCTAATGTCAGTCTCTTTATAGGAGTGATAGGTCTCAGAAGTGTCTTTATGGTTGTAATTGATCAACTGCTGTTAGGAGCCTAGACAGAATATGCTTAGCATGGTTGAAATGTTGTTGTTTAGTGACTAACTTCAATAAGCAAATGATGGTGAAGGCAAAAGAGACTTTGCGATTTCCCATTATTTCAACCTAGAGCTTTGATTTATTGCTGTAAAATTTAACAGAAACAGTTGTATAGTATTCCTCTTACATTCCTTCTTCAGATCAGCACTTGGTCTTTGTTAGCCCTGTCTTTGCCTTTGCATCTCCACCTTTTCAATATTTGAAATAAATGAATGTTTTGTCTTGGCCAGTTCTGAAAAAAAAATCTGCACTTTATAAAGATATGTTGCCTGTTGGATGCCCACATCTCTTTTTGTCTGTTTCACCGACTTCCAACATGTTTATTTTTATTTTTTGTATGACTCATTTTTGTTTTAATTTGTGAAATAAATAAAGAGGTGGGTAGTCCAACTTAATTGCAAAAAAAAATAACAACAATCTCCATCTCAAAGGTCACTTGTTTGTAACCCAGCCAAATCCTTGCCTTCCTGATACTGAAACTCCTGCAGTGTCTGACTGCTTTTATGATAATCTGTTATTTATTCAGTTTGCCCTTAAAAACAAACGAAACTAAGGAAGAGTAAATATGAATGGTTTTAAACTTTACAAGCTAAAAACTCGCCTGCTGTTTCTTCCACTGTAAGATATTTATTTTATAAAGGCAAAGAGGAAAACTAATCTTTTGAGTCCCATCTGAGCTTCAAGAAAGGCTGACAGCCTCTGTAGGAGCAGGGAGCACGCATGTAGCCGTGCTCAAGTGCAGAAACGCTCACGATGTAGCTCCTCAGTCATCCGGCCTTACCTATGTCACGTGTGTGTGTGTGTGTTGTGTGAATAGGAAGGGGGGAAGGGGATAGGGACAAAAAAAGATGCTCCTCTTTTGCATAAAAGCCAAAAGTAAAATCTTCAAGGAATCTGACCAGTGAATGGAGACATCTTTTTTTTTTTTTTACTTTTGTCCAAAACCTTGTGTTCCTGAACTTCTGTAGGTCTGTGTTCTGTTTTGGAAGGGGGAGTGGAAGGGCTTCTGGCTGCAGTGTGCTGTGCGCGAACTCTGTTGTGACAGTGGATGGCTAAGGGATGCCTCAGTTGTCAGGAGCTAGTTTTCCTCACATTTGCGTCTTTGAGCGTTTGCTGCAGCTGCCCTCTGTGTGCCACGTCCGGGAGAATCGCCTGCGTTGCTGGGAATATAAAAATTGACGGCTGCCGTCTTTGAGTCTGGCGCTCACTTAGCCCGATGGGCGCAGTCCAGCACTGATGCATCTACAGCATAGATTCATCTTGAGCGGCCTTTGAAGCATCTGTAAGAGAAACAGAAGATTAGTTTTCCTCTTGCTGAAGACCGGACTTTGTATTCTTCTCTGGTCTGCGAGATTCCTCCTCCTGACCTGGTTACTTGGCACCATGCTGAAGCAACAAAGGCAGGTTGTAAGGGGAGGTTCAGAGGGTCACAGTAACTGCTTAATGTGGTTTTTTTCTTTTGCAAGATAAAAAAGGATTATTTTACAATGTTTTTTAGTGTGTTTAACTAAACAAGTAGTATGTGATGATTGTGAACTGATGATAGACTTAAAAATGTTCTGGTAAGAGTCTTCTGTACATACATAGCGATTTGAGGTTGATACTTCAGTCCTTATTAACAATGTTTCCCAGTCGTTTTTTTTTTTTTTTTTTTGCTTGTTACTCTTGGTTATCTGAAGAGGATTTGATTGGTGGGAACCCCTGTGTGTGGATGTGTAACATCCCCTCCCTCTGCCCCCCTCAGTGGTCAGTCTGAGCATGAGAAATGAGGACAGAGCCCCTGTAGCTTTCTGTGTGTGTTAAGTCGCAGACAGCTATCCTCTCCACTCCTTTTCCTGGCATTTGGGTGGTGTGTTACGTAATGTACAGTATGAAACTTTGTCCCCGGCCTGACTCCGAGTGCGTGTCACCTGTTCTTGTTTTTTTGTCAACTCAATCTGAACCGGAGCTGCGAGGACGGTGTGGAGGCGCAGCCATGCGGGGCTGTCAGAAAGCCTCTCGCGCAGCTCCTGTCCTGCTCTTTTGGAGGCTGGGTGAAGTGCGTCTCAGTCACTCTCCGGAGGGGCTTTCGAGATGTTGGTCATTCCCACAGAATCCGGAATTGAGAGCTAAAGGCATTTTAACCCCGGTTTAAGTGATGCTGAAAGAAACTTAGCTTGCTGATCCCTCAACCCCCCTCTTTTAAAAAAAAAACTTGAAAATATTGCTTTTCTGTGTCATAACCAGTTCGAATCTCTATAACAGCGTATGCAAATTAGTAGTTTTTGCTTTTTCTTGCAAGTTGTGGATGTTGTGTCAGGCTACAGCCTGGCCCGTCGCGTCGTGCCGGTCTGCCAGCTGGCTCGCTTAGATGTGGCGTGGCAGTTCACCCAGCCTCCTTGTTCAAAAACGAAAAGCAGCAGCATCCACTGGCTGTAAATACATACATACTCTTCGTTCTTATGTACATTATCTTTTGTTTAGGAAATCCCTTTTTTGCCTTGCAGTTTCGTAGAATATGTGCACCTTTTTCAGAAAAGAAAATGTGTATGAATGTCTTAGTTTTATTTTAACTTTTCAGTGAATGTCATTTATCATGTAGTTTAGTGTTTACAGTGTCTCCATTAAATACACATATATATATACACATATATATGTGTATATATATAGTAACACATTGTATACATAGATATTTTTAGATCATGTTACTACAGACTGAAGAAGCAGGGGAGGGAAAGTTATTGGTTTTCATATTGAATTGGTGTACCAAGACTTCCTGAAGAGTTCGTTCTTGCTGCACTTACTTTTGGCTGAAGATTCTGATTGTAAAGCAATTTAAAAAAAAAATAAAAAAATAGTGCATTACTCATACCTCCTTTTATAAACGTCTGGGAAAGACAATTTATTTCTCCATTCAGGGAATGCTGCAGTGCTTCTTTATCACATATTGTAGGTAATCTCTAAGGAAGGGAAGGGAAGGGCTTTGCACTATTTCTGTTCTTTTGAAGAATCTACCAAATTTAAAAAATATCACCATAATAAAGTACAAATGTGTCCAACTAAGGAACTGTATTCTATAGTTTAATCCACATAAATCTCATTGCATTAAGTCGTAACATGTTGCCTATGACATTATGGTGATTATTATAGCACCAACCTTGGTAAATACCATGATAATGTTGTCAGCCACAATACTGTGGTATACTGGTGGGTCATACTTCCTTAATAACTACTTTAGTACCAGGGCTATCACAAGGCTCTTTTTCACCTGGGTATCCACCTTTAACAGAATTCTCTCCCAAATCTGATTGGTTTTGTGTTGTTTAAAAAGTGACCCAAAAACACAGTTTGACTTTTGCACTCTTTGGCTATTTTCTAAACTTTAATGAGACTAGGCAGCTCCATGACGAGCGAATCTATTGCTCTGAGGCCTGTGTTTTTTTTTCACCAGTACCCTTTTAATGCAAATGCTTCGTTACAGCATCACAGACTCAGTCTCTATGTAATACCCAGTGCATCCTCATTCCAGAGGCAGTGATGTAGTCAACCGTTCTGACTGAGGGAGGTATAGACTGTTTTGCTCTTACCAGAAAGCTGTGTGGCATTCGTGAACAAATGGCGAATGTCACTGTTTGGGGTTTTACAGACAAAGCAGTCAAAATAATCCACAGATCAGAATTTGTATTTCAAAATGGCAGTTTTCTTACTGTTCTTTGCTTTGGCCTTCCTCAAGTCTGCAAGAACTGCACAGGTCCATAACGTGGGCAATGTTGTTAGAGGAAGGAAACTGACACGCTCTGAAACAGCAATCCCGAAGGGTTCTGTGCGTGTCGGGTTATAACAGTGTCTTTCCTTTGCTCCTTAGTTTTCAGAAGTCCGACAGCAGTGCAAAGCTTCTGTGGTTTAGATGTTTTGTGCAGATAAAATCAGATCAGCGCATCTGAAAATCACGGAAGATTGTCACAACAGAAGTTTTATTGTTGACTGTAATAAACTGGCATGCAGTTCATTTCAAACATGAATAAAAAACACATATCTATGGTAAGACGCATGGGATGTCTTAGTAGCAGCTTGAGATACCTTGCTGAATTTTTTTTTTTAAATAGACTTGAAGTGTGCCACAGATTTGAAAATGTAGACAGACAATGCCAAAAACACACCGTTTTTCTTATTGATGCCAAAGGTGTATGTTCTACATGTATACAAAAGAATATTTCAAACTAGCTATTTTTTTAATTTTCAGTTGCTTACATGTAAGTGTAAAATTATAGAATTCATGTAATAAAAGTGCATTTTATGTGTGCAAAATCCTGTAAATTAAAATCTAAAGGTGTCTTGAATAAATATTTTAAAGGCTTTTGTAGACATATTTCAGGCCCATTCTTAGAAACAGTGCCTTCAGTATGTTTTAACAAGTGTTGATCACTAATGTGTGAATATATAGATGTGAGCCTCTGTCTTTAAGGATCCCCAGTTCATGCAGAGCTCTCAAGACCGCAGTCAGCTCTGATATTTGCAGGAGATCTGTTGTATTACAGACATTTTTTAGACATAGCTGAAAACTGAAAAACACACCGACACAAAAAGGTATAAATGGAAAGTGAAAATGGATAAATAATGTCAGCCAGGACTGCGCCTCCCAGAGGAACACCCCAGAAACCACATGACAGGGGCATTGAACTTCTGTGTTCCAGCAGCCTGGCTCTTAAAGTAGAATCTGAGATGGAAGTTTTCCATTAACAAAGTAAAAAAAAAAAATCAAATGGTTGATCACCATTAAAAAGTCCTTTAAGAAACAGGTCAGAAGTTTTTTTCAGTTTCCCAGATATTACAAAAATCCATAATTGAGAATATGACCGACATATATTAATCTTCACAGTACAATATTAATTTAAATCATAATGTAAATTTAGATATACTAATATGGGTGGCATGGTTAGGTGCATGGGGCAGCTTCTGTGCGCAGTGTGCATGTTCTCTGTGTGAGCTTTTACCTAGTGCTTCAGTTTCCTCTCACCTGCTAAAGGCAGACTAGCTGTGTTCGCTGGTGTCTCTGATGTGTGTGTTTGTGCCCTGTGACAAACTGGCTTTATGTCCATGGTGTTTCCTGTGATAGACTGCTGTCCTGTCCAGGGTGTGTGTGTGTGTGTCCTGTGATGGACTGGTGTCCTGTCCTTGGTGGATATGTGTGTCCTGTGATGAACTAGTGTCCCATCCAAGGTGTGCGTGCTGTGACGGACTGGGGTCCTGTCCAGGGTGGGTGTGTGTCCTGTGATGGACTGCTGTCCTGTCCGGGGTGGGTGTGTGTCCTATCCAGGGTGTAATCCAGCCTTGTGCTCTAAGCCTCCAGGACAGGCTCCAGGTTGGCCCTCACTGGGAATAAATGCCTTTCTATTAATAAATGGATCATCATTATTGATTATCATCAGCTAAAAAAGAATGTAAAATGTGGTATGACTTTATTAAAAGTAACACAACCTCATTTTTTAGAAACCTTAAAGTTGTAACAATCTGTATTCTGGAGCCTCCTACTGTACTATCAGCTTGTCTCAGGATTCTTTTATTTGAGTCTGTTACCATTGGGTTTGGCTTTATTCTTTTTAAAAAAACAATGACGTAGTTACCTTCCAGATTTCAGAATACAGTTTCATGTCACTTTTCTGATCTCCAATGGCACAGTATTCCTGTCTTCCATGCTCGCTGTCTGGCACTGCTGTAGCAGCGTGGTGCCAGCTCTGCTGCCAACAGCATGGACCCAATTGGCCGGCAGTGTGCAAGTGCCTGGCAGTAAATGGCTTTGAGAGTTCCAAGGCTGTAGCAATATGTTGATCCAGACTAACTGATTTCTGTTCCTGCCTCTCTCCTGCTCTCTCTGCCCCTCTCTCTCCGTGTACTGGAGAGTCTCATCTTTCCTTTAATTATTTCAGAAACGGAAATGTGAACTACGTAGGGAGACGGGCGAGAGAGCTGCCTGGAGTGGCTTCCTTCATGCAGGCTGCGCATTGTTTTTCTTGAAAGAAGGTTTTCTCTGCAGTTTTACAAAAAGGAATATTCACAGTGAGGAGTTTAAGACATGTACAGTACAGTAGGTTTGGCCCAATACTGTTTTTGTCCTGCGCTGTAGATAATGAACGCGGTAGTTTTTCTGATTTTAAAGTTATGGAGGGGCAGTGGTGCAGTAGTTGGCACTGCCGCCTCACAGTTCTGGGGCCCTGGGTTCAATGCCGGAGGTGCTGTCTGTGTGGAGTTTGCATGTTCATGTCAGTTTCCCCCAGGTGTTCCAGTTTTCTCCCACAGTCCAAAGACATGCTGGTAGTGTATCTGGCTGCTGGGAAGATTGGCCCTGGTATGAGTGTCCGTGTGTGCCTTGTGATGGACTGGCGTCCCGTCCAGGGTGTACCCTGCCTTGCGCCCGTTGCTTGCTGGTTTAAGCTCAGGCTCCCCCTCGACCCTGAATTGGAAAAGGTGATTAGAAATGGATGGACATCGTTAGTGTAGTTAGTGTAGTGTGGCGCTAGTATGTTCTAGGACTAGTGGTATACTACTGTGTTTGCACTGTAGAAAGAAAACTGTGATTCATTCTGCATGAACATAGTGTGATTAGTGAGGTCACAGTCATAAGCTATTGCATTTACATCCCAAAAGATCCCAGAGCACATGACATACTGGGAAGAGATCCACCACTGAAGTGCTTCCCCCTCCTGACTGCCCCCCAGGTACATTAACGCCTTGGGAAAAGAAAATAAAAAATAAAGCCCCCTGCCCCAGACCCCCCCCCCATCACACACACACACCTTTATAAAACAATCAGCTTTAGATTCCTTCCTCGCCTGCGTCTGCGTCCGCTTAGCTGAACAGATTTAATTGCCCAGCTTTGGCTGCGCTGGAGCAGGCCCTGCCTGCCAGGCGGCTGTGGATTGTGAAGCTGCACCCTCGCGACAGCACCTTCATCTGATCCTTCCTCGCGGGAGTGTGGCTGAGCCCGAAACGCTGCCTCCTCTTCACTGTGCACGCAGTGTGAAGCACTGGCTCATCGCTGTAGCTTCTGGGCTGTGCTCCATTCCAGTATGTAGATATTCCTTATTGTTTCAGCCCATGTTGTGGTATGAAGTTACACTGCACTGTTTTTTTTTTTTACAAAGGAATAAGCTTTGCGACCAAAGACCCCCAAGTCTGACAGGTCTGTTTCAGCTTTCCTTGTTCGGCATGTTATTTACATAGCTAAATAAACAGATGAGTGAATTAGCCAAAATAAAGTGCAGCAAGCTATTCTCTATGAACAAAATCAAAGATATAACAGTACTCTTGCCAAGTCTTTGCGATGACAAACTCCATTGCTTTGTAGAAGCCAAGGCATTATTCGCCCTTTAATTTACTGTTCCATGTTTAATGTTTTGTTACCATTACTGTGCTAAATATTCACTGCAAGCAATGAACTTGATGAACTGTGATTATATATATATTTTTAAAGTGTTTTAGGAAAGATGGAGTAAAACAACATGCAATAAATACTGAGCATATAGTATGTAGAAACATTTGTTCGCTGTTATCTTTGCTATGGGAATCAATATCAGTTCTGTTTCTTAGCTGATCAAGTCGTTTTAATTTCCCTCTGTGTTTGCGAGTTGTTTGTGTTAAAGAGATAAGCAGAAGGATTCTGAAAGATGCTGTTATACTGTACATCTCCAGTTAGCACAAGAACAATTGAAATAACTTTTTATCTTTTTCTTTTCCTGTTCGTTGAACACGTTTTGAATGCCCAAGCTGGAAGGGCAGGGCTGTGGAGCCCCAGGAGCGAGTTTCTGTCCCACGCCGCCGTGCGGCGTGTGGGGCTGGGCCTGGAGAAACCGGGGAAGGCTGGGAAAGGTGGGGGCCGCCTGTGGCATGCCCTGACACACCGTGCGGAAGCTGACGGATTGAAAACCGCTCGCGCCGCGCCCAGAACTTTTAAAAACTGGCAGGATGTGAAACCTGAAAGGAAATGTCGTAGGGGTGGAACCGAAGAGTCTGCGGCGACGGGGTGGGATGTGTATCACAGTGGGCCCTGTGGTCATTGTGGGTGAACTGCCTGGTCCGGAGCCCAGGGATTAGGTGGGCTGTTTGTCCAAAGGGGCAGATCAGGCCCTTCAGATTTCAGAACCCTTCTGCTCTGGCTTTAGTTGCCTGTTGCGTTGCGCGCTATCGGGAGATCACAGATGGAAATGTGCTTGTTTGTTGAAGCTGGAAAGCCCAGGTTACCCGTGGCTGCCGGGCGCCTGGGTCCGCGGCGGTTTCGCCACGTTGCTGTGTGTGAAAGCAGCCGAAGGACAAAGCCTCTCGGGTGCCTGGCCTGGCGGCCTGTTGTGAAAACCTGTGTGGTGAACACAAAATCCTGCTAGCCCTTCCTCCTGAGGAGAAGAAATAGGACTTCCGGGTTTTGCGGGTATCTGGATCAACGCGTTCTGCTTAGGAACCCAGGGTAACCGAGCAGTCAGTTGAGGATGCTGTGAAGGACTGTGTTGTGTTTGACGCTTCATGACCCAGTATCATCATGACAGGAACATACTGTACAACATGGCCAGCCTGCAAGAGCACGCTAACAGCCTGGGCTTCATCTGCGACAGACTGAGCGACAGTACAGTTCCCTCTTGTCTTAAAACACTGTTCTAGGACCCAGTCAAACCCTTTTCTAATGTGACTGACCTGATGAACAAACAGGTAGAATATATAGTGTATATATACAATACCTGTATATATATATGCGTGTGTGTGTATGCTTTAATCCATTTAGTGCAAGAGCTCAGTTCTGATGTCGTCACCCAAGAGCTGATTGAAATCATTATACTGTCGTTAAAAGCAGAATAGCTGGAAAAAAAAAACCTGACCTAAATTTAGTCCGCTCCGAGAATTGGCCGGTCCCGTGAGGCAGTGCTTGTTGCCACATTGATTCTTTGCTTTACAAAAAAGAAAAGGTGGATTGTCCTGTCAATGCGTAGCCTTGACTCCTGGTCCTGCTCGCTTCGGAGAGCGCCGGGATCACCGCCGGCCCGCCGGTGAGGCTGATCTTCGGAATCGGGCAGCGGTGCTGATCGCCATGCTCCCGGAAATGTGAGTGGGAGGCTGCCGGCACCAGTCTGGTGTCTGGTGAGAGATGATGGAGGGGGGCAGGCAGGACCGGGGGGTTCCAGCTACCCCTCTCAGTGTGTCTCTCTGCACTTGTGCAGCTCAGGGGAGGGGACAGGGCTGCTGCACACTGTAGAGGATGAAACCTGTTGCCTCCTCAGTCCTTCCAGCTCTATTCCCCTTTCCCGGCGCTCCGGGGCGCTCGGGGAGGAGCAGGTAGATCAGCGCTCTGACGGGGAATCTCGG